TGATTCGTGGCGGAATCAGCTGAAAAAATGTATAGAGGTAGAGGGAGAGTACTTTGAAGGAATGTCATAATAGTTTTATAGGTTATTTATTGGATTAGTCGAAATAAATTAGACGCGCAAGACTTTTCGACCACCCCACGTACTTCCAACATATAACCTTTAGCCGCAATTCAGAATTTCACACTTGCTAACCCTGCTGAAAAGGTCTGGAATTTCTTCCGGATTTATCCATCTATGCCCGCCTGTTGGCATGTATTTCATCATCGCGCCTGTATATAAAGCATTTGCGTCAATATACAAAATCCATGTGATGGGCTTTTTTGGATCATATCCTGGACATTTCGGGTTATTAGCTACGACTTTTCGTTTACTCGCCATAGAAATACATGTTGTTATCAGTGAATAGCTCAATTTTCTGTCCTGTCATCTTGTATAACGAATCTTCTGCGAATGAAGGGAGTGATACATAATGAGCTATATCAAGCCCAAACTTGGCTTTCATCATTTTTCGATTCGCTTCAAACACATCAGCTAATAATAATACATCAAGTTTGAGATACAAATCATGGTATTCTCGGAAAGTTTTCATACCAAAAGCTTTCCATACTTCCTGCGCTCTTTCATAATCTTTCGGAGCACAAGTGCTTTTATTAAGAATACTGCTAAATGCCTCGATTGGTGGTAATTTTGTCACATCCATTTTGTCTGACCCATCAAACCAATCATACGGGAATTTACCTTTACGGAACACTAAATTTGGTGCAAATGCACACGTGATTGGGAATCTCTCTGGGTGGGCAAAACATCGATCATTATCAATTCGGTATAAATGTCCAGGCTTTTTGCAATTCTTTTCTGTACATGCTTCAGCACCTAAATTTGACACGAGTGAATCAAGGCTTGATGACATAATATGGTATGAATCCATGTACCTCTGATGGCCAATATCGAAGCTTAAATAATTTTTCCATATTGTGCGGTATCGCTTTAATTTCTTCCTGACTTATTCGTCCCATCGCTTTGGCAATGAAATGCGCATCGTATTTTTCCATATTGTGAAATCGAATAAGTAACATTGCTTCTTCGGGTTTTATTTGCAGCTGAAGATTACATATGCTATGTGCAGGACCTCGATACTTACCTGTAATATGATCATGGTCCCTAACCTTTTTCAGATTATCTGCGCCAAATGCTTCATTGCAAATCCATTACCCTTTATTTTGTTTCAATTGTTTAACGAAGGCAGGCTCCCCACATCCGCGTCCACTATCAATTCTATGTCACTTCTAACCCTCATGTTTCCCATGTCAACATTCTTTGGCTGATTTATGACGCTTCTCCTCTTCTTTCGTTAGTTTCTTCATTGGTTCTCCTGGCCATCTGAGCCGCTGATAAATCTGTGATGCAAGACGATACATTTTTCCTAAAGCGCTTCCTAACGGTTTTGTTTTATGCATTTCATAAAATTTCTTTAATGAATCTCTTACATCCATTACCCAGCTAATCTCACCCTTTTTTTCTTCCTTATCCCTACTTAACTTCCAGGATTTAAAGTATTTGCAGATAGAAAGAAGTTCGAGATGCATTTCTTTCGGTAAAAATCCAGCATTAGTTAGTTCACTTAATTTAGAAGCGCTATCCCGGAGTATATGTCCACTTGCGAGATAATCTCCGTCTCTTTCTCCATAGCTTTAATAAAGTCTCCTGCGGGATCTGCTCCTCTTATTTGAACTGGAGCTTTGAATTGACCGTCACTTCGTATAATTATATAATCTAATCCTGAGGGCTCATGCTCTTGGATTGCCGTCGTATTTGTTCCGCGTTTTTCATTGATCTTTTTGGTGAAACCTTCCGCATCTACATAACATGTAAATGGCGCATCCATCATTCGTTCGATTCTTTTGAATTTATATGTGTTTTTACCTTCTTTGGGCATTCCTGTTCTTTGTACTGGAGTATTAATCCCTTCACAATCTTCCATATGCTGAGCATCAATCTTGGGGTCATGGGTTCGGTGGCTTACACAATAGTCACAAACATAACTTTCGACAATGTTTTGTTGTATATCCTGCTAATTTTCCTAAGCCATCTCTTCCTTGAATTAAGCAATAATGTTGTGCTGGTTCTCCTGTTTTCGGATCATCACCAGTTATTAATAAAAGTCGAATTAATTCACGTGCTTGACAATCCCCCTCTTTATGATTGCATCTATCATGTACTTTGGATTTAGGTGCAATTCTGATTGGGATAAGTTCTTTTTCACTCCATCCATAAATTGATACAGATATAGCTGGATTTTGTTTCTCGAACTTTTTCATTGTATCATTGTCTGCTTTTACTGGAAATTGAATCCCGTTGAAATTTAACTTACGTAAGTGAGGGGTATACCAAGAAACTCGTTCTCGATGATGTTGTGCTGGGAAAAGTTCTGCAAGAATACAATATTCATCCTCATTTTTAATATTTATAATTCCATTATTTCGTTTAGGTAGTCCTTTTGGGTAGTGGAAGATGAGAACTAGCAGTTAATGGAACAAAGATTGGCATTTCAATATTTACTTCTTCTGATTCTTCATATACCAACCTGAGCCTTCACGGACATATACTCGTTTTTCAATATCCCAAATAAGCTTATCTACAATTCTTGGAATATCCTCTTTTGAAGTTACTACAACTGCTTTATTTTTGAATGGAACTTCTTTATAATCTTTTTCACTGTTATCTTCTTCTATTTTATCATCAAATAACCCTTGCTGATAATTTGCTGATCTTGACAATTTCCCTACAAGACATAATCGAGTTTTGAAACCATGCGTTAAATCAAACCGTTCGTTAAAGATTTTTATTATCTGTTCCCTAAGCGTGTTTAGAGAATTGATTGGGTCATGGGAGTATATACTTTCTTTTCCTATTTGTACGCGACAATGTGCATCTAATAATTCAACGCCGGAATTAATAACATTTGTTAATTCGAATTTCGGAACATCAGCGGAGCTGCTTGCTTGCGCATTAGAATTTTCTATTGGGGAGAGGGTGTTAGAATTTTCAGTACACCATGGTACCACACCTAAATACTTTAAAAATTCCGTCCATGTTGATTCCAAATCAGTATCTAGCTCGGGTTGAGGTGCTGGTATTGGGTTTCGAGGGCGGCATGGATTTTTTCGATTAAGATGTGATCGAAGCATTTGGGGGGATGAAAAATCATGCTCACATCGTTCACAACTTCTACTTTTCTTATCTTTTCTGGCCGTACGGCTAACCATGTGTTTATTGTTGTCTAATGAATTCGTTATATATTACTTATAATATCTTTTGTTCAATTAATTATTTGACATATTAAAAATAATTAATTAGGTATTATGTGTCCCAGCACTATCACAGATTGCGCCTTAGCCGTATGGCAGCCTTTGCAAATGGTAATTCTTCGGTAGACTTAACGATTTAGCATTTAATTCAGCGAAATTTTTTAGCTGTATGGGTTAGACTTAATAATTTTTTTAGGATTTAGCTTCTAATTCAGCGAAATTTTTTATTAGACTTATAATTTTTTAACGATTTAGCATCTAAATTGGTGAAAATTTTTATTAGACTCATGAAGTTTTTTACGATTTAGCTTCTAATTCGGGAAATTTTTTATTAGACTTACGGTGGGGAATTTTCTGAAATAGTCTCGCTAGCTAATTCAGCGAAATTTTTATTAACCTTATCTGAAATAGCTGCCTTTTTTTTTACACCTGATGATTTAGTCGTCATATGTTGGTAAAAAACTAATAGCTGATCCGCCATATGGTGGATCGCTTGCCTTGTTACCTTAAATGATAACGAAATTATGTTTACATCATCAGGTGTACACATTTGTCCTAAAACATACATAAACATACTACTGCAATTACTTACCTCGTAAATAAATAATTCTACCATTTCATCAAAACTCTTAAACCGTTTGAGTACAACAATTTGTGGCATATTATATTCTTCTAAATACTTATTATATTTGGCAGTATAAACTGTTCCGTAACCTCCAGACCCGAACTCTTTGAGGTCATAAAAGTCGCTATATTGCATGTACTTCAAAACTGTGTCTTGTATAGATTTGTCCAATATTTCATGTATGTTGTGGTAGAAAACTAAATAATATTCCCGAGTAGATGGCTCCTGATTTTGTGTGTCCTTTATTAAGCACAGCTAAGGAGAGTAGATGGCTCCTGAGTGATCCCAATTATCCAAATATTCTCGGGTGTTAATATCTCTGGGTATTCCTTGGTTCGCTATTTGAGTAAACAAATACAGTCGTTATAACACTGGTTGATTAGATACACACGTTAGCAATACTAATACTATTTGCGTACACGTGAAATAATTTACCTGATGAAAATCAAACGACTGGTCGTCCCCTTTGTCAACTATCTTTTTGAGTGTCACACGTGTCGATTCGTTTGTTCTCCAATCTGCTATATGTGTGCATCCATGGCGTAATGATGTCATCTCTTGTATGTTTGTCAATAGAGAGTATTCAATCCATTG